GCGGCTGGGCCCCAAAGCTCAGATCGATCTATCGATCCTTCGACGAATCATTTCGGACGCCGCCATCTGCTTTCTCTCCCTCCATCTACCTACAACTGCATCAACAGCGACACACACATGCCGGCCGTCCGGCGTACGTTCTCCGAGTAGCTGAAAGCAAGGCCGCGCGCTAGCAGCAGAAACGAAACGAAACGCTCGCAGGGTGTCAGTTTTCACGACGCCTGCGCCTTGTCGCCTGGCGCCGGGCAGTGAAATGACGAACGCTGCTGAGGGGTGTTTGATACTGAGACTAAAATTTAGGAGGGTCACCGATGTTTGATAGTAATAAAAAAGTAAATTATAAAATCTGTTAGTACTCCACGAGACAAATTTATTTTAGCCTAATTAACCCATCATTAGCACATGTTTACTGTAGCACAATATTGTCAAATCATGAACTAATTAGGCTTAAAAGATTTGTCTCGTAAATTAATCGCAAACCGTGCAATTAGTTTTATAATTACTCTATATTTAATACTCTATACATATATCAAACATCCGATGAGACATCGACTAAAGTTTAGGAGGAGTAAACCCCTAAGTCTACTTGTGGTACGACGAATTTTCACCGCTTTTTCAGTGGAAAAGCCGCGGCTTCGTCCGTGGATTCAGGCAGCAGCGGCAGCGCGTCACCCACCAGACCCTACGGCCTACGCTGTCGATCTGCCGATGGCCAGCGAGCCGGGTACTGTACTGCCGATCCAATGTGATCCGTCCATGTACTGCCCGTTCGTGGTACACCGCCTGCGCCTCCGGTTTCGTTTCAATGCGGCGCGCATGCAGCTCAGCTCAGCTCAGTTCAGCTCGCTGCTGCGTTAGGTTTCCTCCCGTGCAGTGCAGTCGCGGGCGTGCACGGTCGTATGGAGCTGGTGGTGGCGGCGGCTGCATGCGAATTGCGAACCATAAAGATGCGCACCGGAAAGGGAACCAGAGACGGTGGGTACGCTTGTGCCCCCCGCCCGCGTTGTTAAGACGGCGACAGCAGCAGCGGAATGGTCCTCCAGTGGCACTGTGCCGTGCCGAGGACGACGAAGACGCGCCAATCATCGTCAGGGCCCCGTGCCAATGGTGACCAACAGTGGCGGAGTTCAGGCTTTAGGGGTGGGGTGGTGGACCGTGGGATCGCCCTTTCAATTCGCGCTGTAGGTTTAGCGACAACAACAGTTGAATCTGGGAGAAAGAAGTTGGTTGGAGTAGGGCAGTCGGCAACAGAAACAAGTGTCGAGTTCGAAAGTTTGTTCGCACATAAGCTAGCTAGTTGCCTGCTCGGCTCGATCGATCGGGCGCACTGCACTTTACTGCAGCTGCAGAACAATGTGCTATCTCTACCCAGCACAGCTATAGATATTGTTAGTAAGTACGTGGCATTTCTTTTTTTAAAGGATTTTTTTTAATATTATTCTAAAACAGTGGATGTTCTGCTGGTTCGTAGCATATGCATATATACATTCCGACATTCGTGCTTCTACTTGTGGTCCTCATCACCAGAGGTGTTAAGCTGAAATTTGTGGTTGTTTCCCATTCGTGAGCAGAAGTTCTTGTCCGTCATCAGTTCATCACCCCCACCCCCACCCCCGCTGCTGTGCTTATACTCTCTTGATGCCAACCGCAATACGATCATCTCTTGATGAAACCATGGGAAGGCATGCATATTTACTCCTCATCATTGTGCAACAAACAGCACAGCCTACAGAGCCCCGATAGAACGTACGGACGATGCTGTTCATGACTTAATGCAGGCAGCATGCAGTGGTAACACGGCTTCTTAGGCCGCTACGCTAGGCGCGCTGCCACGAGTGTCTGGCACGTGCTTTGCCGCTCAGAAATTAAGTCGCGCGCTTTCAACTGTTCTTGGAGTAGTAGTCTGCTTGGGCTGCCAAAAGCTAGCATTCGGGAGGTGAAAGTCGCCAATAATTCCACGCTACCTGCTACCGGATCCTAACATCGATTGCATTGTCGCCAACAGCAGTGAAATTGGTCCATATTGGTGCCCTGCGACTGCAACATCGATCACCATCCCTCTGCTATTCACGGTTCAGTTCTTATGTATCCTAAGCAAGGCCGACCTGATCGCCGCGGCGAGCTCGAGCGCGCCCGGCCGGAGGCCCTCGGCCAGCATACGCCCAATGTGCTGCGCGGCGGGGGCAGCGAGCCCGAGCGGCGCGCTACCGCGCTGACTCTGCATGTGACCGGAAGCGGGCGCCGCCGCGTGGAGCGCGCGACTCGCCGCCTTGCGAGAAGAAGCAGATGCTGCTGCATAGCTCGTGCGGCCGAGGCTACGATAGCGTGCGCGCATGGGAGGGAGGCTGTCGTCTCGCGTCTGGGAGGGAGTGGCCGGGGCGAAGAGAAGGAGCGGAGCTGCGGGCTCGCGCAGGTGGGAAGTTGGAGGCGTGGGGTGAGCGCCGACACCGTACGACTTGCGTGGTGATGAAACGTTTGTTTGGCCATCACAGCCAGGAGCCAGCGAAATACACGATCTTTGTTAATTTAATAATAGCGAATTAGCGATATGGCCCCGTTCGTCGCCATATTTAGCTGTCGCTTTCTTTTTTCATTTTCTAATAGGTTTTCTCTCTCACCAATTTATCGATTTTTCATTGTCGCCAACAAATTAACGGGTAGACGTACTCCGGTGGATTTTCAAAAGAAAAAAAACTCTGCACAAATCATGAAGCAAACTAGTAGTCCAATTAATTTTAGGGTAAAGTTCACTTTAGGACCTCCAACTATCACAGAAGTATGGATTTCAACCTCCAACTTCAAAACCGATAACATTGACCCTCCAACTCTGTTCACTTTAGGACCTCGCCGGTTCAGTTCTTATGTATCCTTTAGCAGGCGACGCGTGATGACGCCGCGACTTCTTTTTAATTTGCAAAATTGATATCTTTTATTCGAGCTTCGCCTCCGTCCCGGATTGTCGCCCTCGGCGGGATTGTGAGGGGGGCACGGTTTTCCAACGACAAACTCAATGGGACGGAGGGAGTAGCAAATAATATATCAATTTTGATCGCCTCGGCGAGCTCTTTTGCAATGGTGTACTCCGCTTTGTTGTTTGAGATAATTTTATTTCATGAAAAAATAAATATTTCTACAAAACAAGTTAGAATAATGCTCGTGGAATTTGTTAGATAAATAATATTTTTATTATTATGTAACACGAAATGTTGTCTTTTAGGTTCATTTGACCATAGAATATATAAGTTTGACTATTTTTGAAATGCAATAATTCAAAACTTGTTTTGTAGAAATATTTCGCTTCGTCCGCCTTGGGTCGCAAATATTTCGCAATAATTCAACAAGGGCGCGCATGGGAGCGGACACGAAGCTGTCGTCCGCCACTCGCGTCTGGGGCGGTGCGATTTAGGGACCAGCGCACGCAACAAGAACGCCGACGCCACGGAGATCCTCGCCGGGCCTTCGCGCAGGTGCGCGCTCAACTTACCGATGCCGCACAAGATTCTAGACCACGAGTAAGCCACTCACTATTGCCGCTACCGCTCCCTCAATTCAATCTAGCTATCCACCGCCACTTCATGCGGTCATACTCATGCCATGCCGACCAGAAATGATACGCATGTGTGTTGGCCAATGGTCGCCCGGGCCTGTGTCTTTGCAATAGTAGCCATAGGAAAGGAAAAGGACAGTGTACACGAATCGTGTTTGTTACAAGATAAATATAATACTACTACTACCACTAGCTACTTAATTTCACCACAAAAACAGAAAAAAACTACACTAGGAGCAATAAACATATCGCTTGATCGTCATATGTTGGCGCTAGTTAACCGCAGCTAGGGAAGGTTAATTCAAAAATATCTAAGCGATCGTGGCAGTCCGATTGACCGTCCAACTCCTGTTTTTATATATACTGACTACGTTGGTGTTGTACATATACAAATATACAAAGTATATAAAATACTTGCATACGTCAGCTTAATTGCATAACTTGTTTTGTAGAAATATTTATTTTTCATGAAATAAAATTATCTCAAACAACAAAACGGAGTATACCATTGCAAAGAGCTCGTCGAGACGATCAAAATTGATATATTATTTGCTATATTTGGAGCTCCGAATAAAAAGATATCAATTTTACAATTAAAAGGTTTCAAGATCAAGCACAAAAAAACCGCTTGAAACTCTCCTAAAGTGAACTTTTTCAAGAGTTGGAGGGCCAATGTTATCCGGTTTTAAAGTTAGAGGTTAAAATCTATACTTCTACGATAGTTGGAGGTCCTAAAGTGAACTTTACCCTTAATTTTAATGCAAACAAAAATCTCATGCTACCAAACAAAAATCTCATGCTACTGCTACATAAAGTAGCACACCCAAATCCAAGTAACAGCAAATTAACAGAACTAGTAGTACTGGAAACTGAAACTGAAGTCTTTGCAGGCTAGCAGCCGCTGCGGTCCAATCGACGAGTCTTCTTGTTGTTGGCGGCCTCCAGGGATGGGAAAGGGCTGAACATGAACAAGGGTGAAATTCGATTAGGTCGAGTAGGAAACATACAATTGGGTACACAGGAATCGATAACTTCTCTAATACAAAAACGGCAGTGCACAAATGTTGCAGTGTGATCTACTTCCAGCTATATATATCAGATGTTCAATTTGCTAGTTATGGACAAGCTCGATTTTGCAGTATATGTGAAAGGCTAAAAGTTCAAAATAAACATTGCACACGGTTTGAATTGGTTTCAAATCTTGCTGCTAGTCGTTGAGCACATTTTTGTCAACAGTCTTTGCTGTGATCGGGGGGAAGAAAATGACTTCGCTCATGCGAAGAGAAGACTCACCAGGTGTAGCTGGAGAGGGCGTCGACAGTGCACGGGCGGTAAGGGATCGCGGCCTCGACACGGTCACCATCGCCCAGCGACACAACACGACCCAGGTACTGCACCTTGCCGCCGCCGAGATGGTACGCCACGACGTGGAACGCGCCGGCGACGAGGAAGATCACCTCCTTGCTCGGGTGACACCCCAGGATCGAGAACTGAGTCTGGGCGCCGGCCCCGACGTCGAGCACCTCATCCACCGCCCGGAGGCGGAGCACCCGTCGCCCACGTCACCACTGCCAACTTCCTCGGCGTCCTCGTCGGAGAACCAGACGCTCTTGCCTCGGCCTCCACCTCTCCCTTCTCCAGTGGCGAGCGGAACGCAGTTGGACGGCGCGTGATGAAGCAGGTCCAGCATGCGCGCGTGCACGGCGAGGTCCTTGTCGTGCGTCAGCGTCCACTCCAGCTGTCCACCTCCATCCGCCGATTCTTGCAGCGCCCACACCTTCACGCGGAACGCGTCGACGCTCGCGTACCGCAGCAGCACCCCGTCGTCGGTGCTCGCGAAGATGGAGTCCACGGGGAGGCCCGACGAGACGTGGAGTTCTGCCTCGTCGGCCGGGAGCTTGACCATGTCGTACGTGCCCTCCGAGCAGTGGAGCACCACCAGGATGCGCTTCTCGCAGTGCGCATACGTCGTTGGAGGCCGGCGGGGGCAGGAAACCGGGGTGAGGGCGAGGCCTCCACGGTTTGGTGGCGGCGCGGACGACGTTGGCGAAGAAGCCCGGGAACGAGCGCGGACGGAGCGCGTGCGGGAGGAGGAGCTCTCGGTCGTCCACGACCGCGCGCCAGAGCGTGCCCACGCACCACGCACACGCACGCACACGCACACGCACGCCAGCGTACATTTGGTGTTGGTGCCGTTGCGGCGCTAGGACCTGAGCTTGCTCGACACAGAAAGGTAGGGTGGTTTTCTGTAAATATACGTTGGATTTAGCATGGACGTGCGGTGAACCATTTTAAAAATCATGGACTCAAAAATACAGTTTTAAAGTTGATGGACTTAGATGACACCACAACGAAAGTTAATGGACCCCGGTGTATTTTACTCTTTTATTTATATCTGATGATTGGCGTCAAACAATATTTCGAAAAAAAGAGATGATTGCGTCAAACAGATAAAAAAATTGGAGAAGAAAAAACAATGGTAACACAAACTTTGCACGAGACTGATGAGCAGCAGAAGCAAAAATGAAAAAATGATGGTACCACAACAAACTGGCACGTAGACTGATGTGCAGCAGGTCACTTACGGAAGCGGGCCGCGGAAACCCAAATATGGATCGCAATGGGAAAGCGGAGAGCAGCAAGGATCCAGTAGGAAACCCCGCGCAGGCCACCAACACAGATAGGGCCAAAGCCTTATTCCCGAGGGAGTACCCCTTCTACCACAAATCATGACTACCACTCTCCCACTCGAGGAGATGGTAAGCCAGCGCACCCACCAAGTGAAATGCGGGCCGCTGACTCAGGCCACGGGCCTTCGTGATCGCCCGTCGACCCCGTCCAGGTAAGTATGGAGCTACGGAAACGCCCGGACCGAACGAACGCGTTCTGTGCTCTGCCGCTGGGCTCTCGAGACATGGAGACGTACATGGGCCTCTGTTGTTGGGCCGACAGGAAAACATTCAGACCGCGGGCTACAATGGTTCTGCTAAACATGGGCTCGGCCTTTGACGTCGTCCATGGGGAATTGGGGATTGTAGAAGGAGAATATTTCGACAATTCGACCATCAACAGGACCAGCTTTTCGTCGCCACGTAAGCAGCCCCCGCGGTACGCTGCGTACGTTTGTTTAACGCGGCACGCACAAGCACAGAAGTCTCCGACACATTCTATACTCAAAAGTCCACTGCATATTTTGTACGCACTACCTCTGATTTTACACAACGGGACTGAAGCATGTAGTGATTCAATCAACTTCCTTGGACTCCAAGGTTCTGCGATTGCAACCCGGGGACCACAAATTTCAAGACGTCCTGCATGGAAGCTGGACTACTTCTTCACTGAATGTTCATGTGGATTCTCGCGAACTTTTCCTAGTAAAATCTCGTACAATACGAAACCGAGTGTCAGCGGATACTCCTAAGGCGCACTTGCTACATGCTTAACACCTATAAAAAAGGAGCAAGCATGCTTTGCACCAAAGGAGCCAAGCCTGCCTTGCTGAGTTCAGTTTCAGAGGTGCTGCTTCTCAGAATCTCAGGTATCTTCTTTTCCTGGAGATGCAGTTACATGCCCTGTGCTATTTACAGGTTTAGTTGCAGTATTGGAAGAGAGCTATGAGTAGTTTTTACACATTTTATTAGTTTGGCTCCAGCTTTGCACTTCCGCACTTCATGTCAGGCGTTCTGTTTTCTGTTTTCTGTTTTCAGGAACATCTTCTTGGAGCATCTCAGATTCTCAGCTTGTGTTGGCCCCCGGCAGCCTTTGGAGGAATTGAAGGATGGGAGACGGTAAGCGTAACAAGGTGAAGAAGAGCATCTGGCAGCTGCTCTGCGGCTGCTCCTCACCCCAGACGACGGACTGAATGCACCACCGTTCCATGTTCTGAGCTTCCCAAATTATTAGGTTGTCGGAAGCTGTTTAATGGCAGATATAATAAGCCAGTGTGCTAATTTGTTTGTTCGTGTCTGGTCGTTTTATATGTATTTGTTGTGTGCGTCACGAAAGATGTAACGAGTTGATCGTCTCAGTTGTTTGATTCAATTTGTTTCTGGTCTTGTATGTTCTACTTGTGTCTTGGGCATCAATGTAAAACACCATGCTCCTCTGTTTGGGCTTTCCCCTGTTTTTGCTCCTAAAATGAGCTCAAATCCATGTCTGGTATAGAGAGAGAGAGAAAAACAGAGATAAGCAATCTTGTGTTTGGTGTTTCAGGTTTTCTCGAAAAACGATGTGCTCCAGATACAGTCCTGGAACAAAACTTCTCTGTGTTCGTTCCATACCATGAGTTGGTGATAAAAGACGTTGTAAGTCATCCTTGCATAACATTGCCACTTGTCTAGGTTGTAAATTCTTCTGTTGAAAAATCCTTCTATTCACTCCTTCCAAATGTTCCACCAGAAGTAGATCATGATTCCATCAAAAGACCGTCTCTGATTTCTTTCTATCTTCGCCCGACATTTCCGCCAATATTTATGAAGCGACCCCGGCATGTTGATTTGGTTTAATGTTGACAACCCTAGCCATTGCTTTGATCAACTCCCACACATCCTTTGTGCAAGTGCAGTCTTTACAAATGTGCGTCGGAGTTTCCGAATCAGTTCCACATAATTTGCAGATGGGGTCATTTTGCCAGTTACATTTGTTTAAATTATTGACTGTGAGGATCTTTTTCTGTAGTAAAATCTAGGCAAAGAAACAACATCTGGGTTCTGATTTTGCTTTCCAAATTGGCGTAATCCTGATTTTGCTGAATGTTCCTACAAACTGTATTTGGTAGGCGCTTTTTGATGTATATTCTCCATCTTTGGTAGGTGCTTTTTGATGTATATTCTCCATCAGCTGTCCACCACCAACTTATATCATCTTCCGTAGAGTTATCAAGCTGGATTCACTGGACCGCCTCCCATAAAGTTACATATTCGACTCTCTTGTTGTGTTGTTACCGGCGAGATGTGTCGAATCCATTTGCTCTGCTCCAACGCTTTATGAACCGTAATGTTCCTTCTCTTGTGTGCAAGATCGTTTTAATTTTAGATTGTATTGATTCTACCAAATTGATTTTCTCACCCCGTCACGGGTGAAGCTAGAGCAAAATATTTTACCCAGCTAGGTCAAATTCATGTTTCAATACACACAAACACTCCTATATAAAAATGATTTCGATAATCACATAATAATGATATAGACATAAAATAAAATAAAATACTATGATATATTGTGTACAGTCCTTTCTCTGTATAGTAGCTTCTGTATCGCTTCTCGTATAATGGAGCCCACTCCATTTTTGTGGAAGAAAGGAGAAGAAGATGGGGGGAGAAGAAAGGAAGGAGAGAGGAGAGAGGAGAGAGAAGGGAGGAGGAAGGAGGAAGACGATAGATGAATGATTGGGGAACATAACTTTTGAGGTTACCGTTCTTGACATTTTCGTTAAGAATAAGGCCATGTTCGCGTGTCTTATGATCCGTACTTTTTAACTTGTTTTTTCAGTCGGAACCGTGTTTTTCTCTTGCGACAAATCAGCCGGAACAGTGTTTTGGCTTGTTTTTTCAGCGAAGTGAACGTGGCCTAAAGGGAGAAGTAACAACAGGCTTTGCTCATAATTTTTTTTTCTTCCGTGTGCTCTTTTGTTTTTTTAATCAACGGTGAAAAAACATTATAAGAACCAGACTATGTGCAGTCGTAGGAGCCAGAACTTTTCTGTTTTCTAAAAAGGAAGAAGCAAGCCTCCCCTAAGAAGAACTGGTTTCAAGTGAACTGAAAGCAGGGCCTCCGAAGTTGACAGGACTATTCTGAGATTTGTCATGCCATGTTCTATGCATTGGGAGAGCAACTGCAGGCCCATAAAAAGGTGTTTTCTTTTATCAATCACCCAATCAAACCAGTAGTTCACTGGAAGCTTAGCTACTACACAACTGTTTGTACCTGAAAAACAAGAGAGAATAACTGAATACTCTGCTTATTCCTTTCTTTCTTCTTTTCTTCTTCTTCCGGAACAAGGTACACGATACTTTCAAACTCTGTGCTTGTTGCATAGGTATCTCTTCATGGACACACACCGGCACAAGTGGACCTTGGGCATCAAAACAGAACATAAATACTGCTCCCTCATTTCTAAAATGTTTTTTTTTAATTTAGCTCTATGCCTCTATTCTAAGTCACATTTTCTAACTTAAACTCATAGTAAATTGCAGCAAAATCTGCAATGTCAAAATATGGTTCATTATAAAAAATAAAAAAGGAAAAAGAAAAAGAAAAGGAGCAGCTGAAGTGCTGAACCGTTCCAAACACGGCAAAAAAAGGCAACAGTCTTAAAATAAACCAAGTTAACGGGTCAGTAGTATTATGCTTCAGCCAAGAGCCAAGGGAACTTTATTACCCCGTCAGGCATCAGACCGCGGAAAAAGTCTCCGTTAACGCGTAATGTATGTGGCCGTGCTCCGTGCATGACGACCAGAAGGCATCAGAGCTGACCCAGGTAGGTCAAGTCACACACTCACTCATCACTTCTGCACTTGCTGTCCGCGAGTCATGCTACCAGAAGCCGTTCAGAATACTATGTTTTTTTTTAACCATACCACTTTTGAATTGAACGTTCTCTATCAGTGAGAAGCGTAAGAAAGTACGGTACAATGTACGTTTAACCATATGTCCTGGTCTACGTTCAATCTTGTGTATTCTCTTCACCGTGTACTGCGTACGGAGTACATGGCTACATACGTGCGGGCCAAGTTTGGTTGGTCGTCTCTGACTGACTGCAAAACGCTCTAAACAGCTGCAGAAGGACCCCAAAGATTCTTTCTTGCGTTTTCTCATCTCTTTTCCTTCCTCGTCACTGGCCAAGTCTCCCAGACTCCCACATCGCCAAGAGGCAAAGACGACCCTGCAGCTGCAGGGCTAAGCTTGTAA